CTACCCAAAATAAATGGTCAGGACCTCAAAATCATAAATCGATGCCACCAGCGGACTCTCCGCTTCCCGTACTTTCATAAAAGTATTTTTTGGTAATGATCGACTCGGTTTTTGAGTCCCGTCGATACACCGCAAGTCGGCTAATTAACCAACTCAAAATATAATAAAAATAAAAAAATTATTAAATTTGCTGCTGTTATAGTTCTCCTTGTCCCGAAACCAGGATCCCATTTCGGGGAGGACCCAATTTGCCTTTAAAAAAATTTTTGACGACAAAACCAGTGGCGCTCCTCCAGCCATGTATGTACCGCATGAAACCGGGGAGGGCCCAACATGCGCACTCAAAGGAAAATCTTCCAGTTCCAGCAAAATCCTCCACCCCTAATTTAAATTTTTATTTTTTTTGGAGGGACCGACGCCACTCCAGATTTGTGAATGGTTTCGCCCCTGTCTAGGAGTAAGACACATTGCGGTCTGGTACAAAACAACACCCCACCGCAAAAAAAAATCGAAAAGTAGAACCCATTAGAAAATTACATCACAACACGTACCACAACATCGAAAAAATTGAACCAAAACCTAATCCATAATATTTCTATAGCTGAAATAGCTTAAAAAAACTGATAGTCCATTTCGAATTTAGTGGTGCAGTTCGCTGAATAACCGCACTAAACTCCCACAAAGAAAAAGGGAAACTAAATTTATGAAAAATAATAACTGCATCGCACCCAAATATTAAAGAAAATCGAACTGAAAATTTTTCACATTAAAAGAAAACTGAATTGACCACACTCCTCACTGCTTTGCACAGTTCGACTCGATTTTGCGATATCAGTTCAATTTTGCTAACCTTAAGTTCATGCTCGAGCTCGAGTCCTTTTACACTGATAGTTTATTATTAGATTATTTATAAATTAAATTTAAATATTTAGATTGTTCTTGAACGTTGGGTTGTCAGCAACATTTATCGGCCCAAACCGTACTCAATTTTCGATCCGCAATAACGAAGTCCACTTAAAAAGCCCAACACCTAAAACCCCTCTTCAACCCTTCGTATAAAGCCCCTCCTCAACCGCCGCCACTCATTTCCCCCAATCTCACAAAGCTCACCGGCAAAACTAGGGTTTTCGCGTCTTCTAAGCCATGGTAAGATCGATTTTTATCTTGTCTAACTGCAAATCGATTGATTCACCTGATTTTTTTGCTGATCATCTCAATTACGAGATGATTTTGTTTCAGTGTGACTGTAATCTGCGTTTTCTCTTTGGGTTTCGTGCTGCTATAGGGGAAGGGAACAGGAAGCTTTGGTAAGAGGAGGAACAAGACGCACACACTGTGTGTGAGGTGCGGCCGCCGGAGTTTTCACCTGCAGAAGAGCCGCTGCTCCGCGTGCGCTTACCCTGCTGCCCGCAAGAGGACGTGTATGTCGTTTATCGCGTTTTTTTTTCTGTAAAATTTAGTGTTTGATTTGTGCATTTGTTAGAAAATTGGTGGGACTTCTGTTTATATGTGTATTTGATCTTTTGTTGATTACATTTTGAGCTGATACATTCCCTTTGATTCTGGTGCTTCCATAATGTTCGTTTTACGATTTGATTGAATTAGCATTGATCATTCCGTATATAAACTGGTAATGTACTTTTAGCCTTCTATGAGTGAATTATGCTATTAACACTGAGTGATCTCTGCAAAATTCTTGTAATGTAGAAAGCCAGTTTGATTGTTCGCATTTTTGTTGTGTTCATCGAATTGACTGATTGGTTTGTAAAACTTGAATGTTTGGACAAATGGATCGTAATACTTTGTTGATTACATTTTTGAGCTGATACATTCGCTCCGATTGTGGTGCTTCAGCTTTGTTCGTTTTACGTTCGATTGAATCTTCACTGATCATTGTGTGTATAATGTATTTGGAGCTTTGTAGTTTCTAATGTAGGCCTGTGGCTCAAATTAAGTCATTGTGAGTGATTGTTTTGAAATTTTTTTAATTTAAAAGGCCACTTTGATTGTTACATTTGTTATTGTAGTTGTGTTGTAAAATGTTTTTTCTTGGAACTCAATGAATCAAATTTCTGATTGTTTTGTAAAACTTGCGCATTAGACAACTGGAGTGTGAAGGCAATTCGTAGAAAGACAACTGGAACTGGACGCATGAGGTATCTCCGCCATGTGCCCCGCAGATTCAAGACCAACTTTAGGGAAGGTTTGTGAATTCTTTTTCGGAATTCTATCAGATATCATAGTCATCATCATCATCTTGGTGGCAAATCGTGCTATCTTGTCGTATTGTGTTTGTGTTTTTATTTATTTTTATTTGATCATAATAATAAGTCTAAGTTTAACTAGTTTTATATTTTGTGTTTCTGTTTTTTTTTTTTTTTTTTTTTTTTTTTTTTTTTTTTTTTTTTTTTTGTGTCGTGTACTTTGGTTTTGTGTCTCGTGTCGTACTAGCCATTGGCACTCTACATTTGTTTGAGGATATTTGTGCTTTGTGTACTGATGTTCAATATGTAATGGTTTACGTAGGTACTCAAGCTGCACCGAGGAAGAATGCAACTGCTGCACTTTAAGTTTCTAATTTAAGAGAACTCGCCCATTGTACTTCAATTTGATATTTTAAAGAATTTGAGAGCAGGATAATTTTGGGAACCATTTAAAAGGAAGTTTTCCTCCTATTTATTCGTAACTGAGTTTTGTTACTGAACTTGCAGTTCTACTTTGTTTGGCATTTTAATACATGTCTGAAAGACCACCACCTACAATTTCTCTTTTTGATTTGTTTCTTTGCTGTTTAAATTTGCTTGGCCTTTGTGTTTTGAATTTTAGCTTTGGCATCAACTTTGATCTCTATAATGTTGGCATTATATTTCTATACATATCTTAGTCATCCAATGTTGGGTCACTGCAAAATCATTACATATGGATGATTGATTTTTTGCGATGATAGTTCTCTGATTGGGAGTATGAGGTTGTAGACATTTTTATTTCACTTTGATCGAATAAAATCGATTAGTTCTAAGGAGATTTTACAAATTATGGCTATGGTTGAGTACTTTATTTATAAAGATCAGATGTCTTTCTAATTTAATTTTCCTAATACAAATAGGTAGCATAATTAAGATCAAAATAGGTGAGAATTATAGAGAATGGAGAGTTTACAGGGAGATGCTACAATCCACTTACCGAATTATGCTGTTAGGGTTTGTAACCGGTAGATCATAATGTAACTGTCAGAGATAGTTGATCTAACGGTTACAAACTCCGACGGAATAGTTCTGTAACGGGACCATAGCATTTTCCTAGTTTATATATGCACAAAAAATCTGCAATTTCCATAGTTGCACTTTTAACTGTAAAGAAAATATTGGAATGAAAGATCTAATGAAATGTATGGTTGCATTTTCCACTAGAGAAGATTTTCTTTTATCTTTTCATTTCCTTTGCCCAAGTAAATGTTGGAATGCACAACATGTGGATCATCAGAAAATAAAAACAATGGGTACAAACACACCATTCATATATGTTTTAACAAAGAAAGAGAAGAAAACTAATGTGAATGGAAAAGAATGATTTTTTTTTTTTTTCTTAACCACAACAAATAAGCACACACCATTTGGAGACTCCTGCCCCAGAACACAAAATCGCTTGTGTGCATTTTCTTGAAGGAAACAACTGTACACAAAATCGTCTGCTCGGCATTTTCAGCCAGAAAATCTGTACTTTTTGTATGCTAATCCCTAACTTAGTACGAGTTTGCCGAACTTCTCTTTCTCCTGATCAAACTCTCTAAATACGGTGTCAAGCTCCGGAAATGCTGACAACAGCAACAGCTCAACAAGATCGAATGCTAGTTGCTTCATGAAAACAGATGACTGTGCATGTATGTATGCCAGCAGTTAATCTATCAGTAAAGATTCCAGAAGCATAACTAGAAGGAAAAGCGCAAAGTTGATATTTTTTTTATGCAATTCAACGAACAAAATATATATGAATGAATAAATAATAAGTGGGAGAGAGAGAGAATGAGCAATGACAAGCAAACACACAAAAAAAAGGCACTTAGTGTTAGAGTTATGAGACAATGAGCAAGAAGATAACCTGAATGAAATAGTAGAGATCCTTGGCACATTGTTCATATTCCTTACGTCCAACGAGGCCTACAATAGCAGCTGGTGCCTTATCTGTAAAAAAATTCTGAAAATTTTATTAAAAAAAAAAAGAAAAAAAAAACATGATCAACATGTCTAACAAATGTACAGAAATAACAGCAGCTCAAATATGTGAGGAGTTAGTTGGGATTAAGGTTGGATAAGAGAGAATTAGCATTTTACCAATCATCAGTTCATATACAAATTTGGCTCGTCTTTCAGCTTCCTTCTTTTGCATCTCCTCAAACTTCAGAGCATCTTCAGGATTACGTGAAGGAGAATATGGAGTCGAAGGTTGGTCCTCGGTAGATTTGTGAGATGGGCTATCAGGTGGGGGCTGTTGTCGTCTTGGGTGCTTTGTGATGAATATTCCATCGGGCCATAATATCTAATTATTATAACAAAGAAACGAACAACAAATTGTTATAAACAAATATACAGAGCATTTGGCAATCCAATAAACGAGCCTCATAATTATGTAAACCTGCCAGGTTTCCACATTACGGTTTCAAGTTACTTATAAACAAAATGTTCAATAACTGAATTTTTGTAATTGGAAGAAGTTGTCGAATTACATATATTTAAACGAAAAAAAAAAAAGATCATATACCTGCTCGACCCTCTTGATGCCAGCAGCAACCACAGATCCCCTACGTAGATGCTGGATTTTCTCAATCAACCAATCATCAAAAGCATCACCCATTCCCAATTGTAAGACTTGTTTGGCCACCCAGAAAGCTTTTCGCCTGCAAAAGGCCACCCCAGATGCACGAGTTGTGACGGGCAGTTGGGGTCAAGGCTAGAAATCTATTTGCAAATAAAATTACCTGATCCATCCACCATCTTTTAGCTGTAAAATGACATCAACCAAATCTAATATAGGAACGCTCAAATTCGGCGGCACCCACTGTGCAGAGAGAAAATCAGAAAAAATACAACAAGGTTGTTAACACACGTGAAAGCACTAATGATATACAAAAAACAGAACAAAGGTACACAATGGCGTTGAACAGATATTATTCCAAGAATTATTAAAGGGACTGAAAAACTAAAAGGAAAGCCTAAGATCTGGAAATAACCTCACTGGGAAGTGGATCAGGGTCATTATCAGTTGCAACAGGATCCGACTGTCTTCCGTCTCTATTTACTGTTCTTTCTGAATTTCTGAATGGTGGTATGTTATTTTGCTCTGGGTTCTCGGAGCCAGTAGTAGGGTTCTCGTAAGCTTTCTTAAATTCTTTTTCAGGCTGTTTCGATGAAGAAGGAACTTGCACTTTTGCTTTGAATCCTGCGCTGTCAGAAGCATGGTCACTCTTGGTTCTTGATGCAAAATCTTGGTTTCCATTATTGGAAGTTTCTTTCTTAGAGCATAAAGGATCGTATATTTCCCGTACATGCTCCCGGTACTCCTTGCTCTTTTCACATGGTGTTTCAGTTTGCCAAACTGAAAATACAAAACCATTTTCAGACCATGAAGAGTGCACACAGCAATAATCATGAGAAAACCTGGTTTCTAGAGATTTTACCTGGAAGGGTATCGATTATCGATAGTGAATCTGAAAATATATACATCTGCAATTTTTGTACACAAAGAGTTAGAACCTGGGGAAGAACAATAATTCTTTTCACAAAGATTCTGAAAAGTTGGAAATAGTAAATTAAAGTGTCGAACCTGAGAATCAACACTAAGGAAATCCCAAACTTCAATGGAGCAAGAAACAGTAGGAAGCTGCATAAGTTTCTGCAGAGCAATGGAGATTCAGAAGGTTTATAAGTTTTGGCTCAATGATCACACAATTCTACCCGTTTGAGTACACAGAGATACATAAAAATTCTTAAAAGCCCCAACAGTTCCTGTTCAGAATCAAGCAAAATGATCGTGACATCTTCAATTTTCCAGGTTAATCAAAATACCATAGAAATCTCGGGAACTCGTTAGCTTTATTCTACCTCATTAGGACAGGTAAAAAATCCATGCCTGCAACAAAACCTAGGAACAGGAAAATTCTAATTTCAAGAAGCTCTAGAACAACCTAATTTATGTTTTTCCATTTCCCAAACTTGTTAAAAGCTCTTGGAGCTTAGTGTCCGGTCATCCTTCAAAGTTCTGCCACATACCTTTACATGCATGCAAAAAACTTCTATTTTCTGTTTCCCATGAATATGACATGTTATATGATAATGGTAACTAAATCTCCCACCCTTCCACAATTAGGAAAAAGAGACAGGAAATAAGGCATCCATATTAACAATTACGTTTCTTGATATCCAAAAGCACATAAACAAGTTTCAAACTTATGACATCACTTTTCTTTTGAAGCTCATCCACATAGGTCCTGCTTCTACTTACACATTTCTTCGTTTGCATCAAGGTTCGAATCAAGGATTCGCTAAACTGCATATTTAGGAGAGAAATATATAAATGTAATTGTCACACATGAACCAAATAGTAAAGTATGACCTTCAAATACTGGTCAAGTAATCTACATCGCTCTTGAATTACGAATACATCTAGACCAGTTGACAGGAAATGCTTTGGTGGCAAATGAAGCTTATATTCAGGGAACTCTTTAAGACGCCTATGTAACTCCTCGAAGTGTTGGTATCTGTCAGCATGAGAAATAAGATCAGTTAATACACTGTATTCCCTCAGTCAGGGACTAACTTATCTTCTATCCTGCAACATGCAGTTTGCTTAAACCAAAGATACACAACCACCAACTTCGATAAGTCATAATTTTTATTCAAAGAATCTCATATACTTTGATGAGGACAATTAAACCTACACGGAGACACATCATCAATACATAATTAGAACAAAAAGATAGCAGGGAGAAGCATCCAAGCAATAATAAAAGATAAAAATTACAAGAGATTATCTTGGCAGTTGGCACCTTCTTTTGATAGACCAACTGTGACCATTAACATCTGTAACAGATATGCAATATACAGCAAATGTCTTGGATCCACTCTTCACAATATTGGCACCCGATACCTGCGAAAAGAAATGAATTTACACTCTTCACATCCTCAGGCATAAACATGCAATCAAGCTTAACCGTATTGGCAAAAGGATCAACGTGTGATTGGAGTACCTCGCATCTTAATTTGAAATATGAATCATAAATGATCGAGTGTTTTGCTGAACTAGCAGCAAGACTTTGACTTTCAGGTAAAGAGGCCAACGACAAAGACGATGAAGTTGTGGCCCCACTACAAATTCGGCCCAACAGGTCCGAATCGGAGTCCTCACTCGACCCTCCAGGTTTGCTGGTCGTTTTGGAGGAATTCAATGCATCCAACCCATCTCCTAGTAAAAAACTAGTTCTTTGAACCTCTTCCCAAATATGCCCATTATGACTGCTGGGTCTAGATCTTTTCTTAGCAGACTTGGTTCTACGCATTTCTTTAGAACGGAGCTGACCTTTGTTGGCCTTTCTGCTCTTGTGTTTGTCGACCGCTTCAAGTGGATGATGAATTCGGCTAAAATTTCTTTTGTTTTTACCGTCCCAGACTTTGACACCTGGTGAATCAAGACCCATAACGCCAGTGCCATCATCGTCTTCCGTATAACTACTGCTCCAGGAATCAGCTTCATCAGAAGACACGATTTCATCATTGTTGAGTAAGGAAACCGATGTCCCACTTTCAATGGATAAATCTCCGTGCACGCCAGTATTGGTATGCCATCGTCCTTTATTACTACCTATTGCATCTCTCTCCTTCTTCTGCTCATGAAGAACTTTTGATCGTTGAACGGAATTAACAAAAGAATTTTGTTGATGAGGATCAGCCAACTGATTTGTGTCCTCCTTCCTTTTATAGTCTCTTCCTTTGGTCCACATATTGTCAAAATGTTCTGGAGCCAATGCCTCAGTCTTTCTCCGGGAAAACTCGTCCAGCACATTACCCCATTCTCCTCCAGAGGGATGCCGTTGGATATCTGTTCCCTCACCAGTATGAACATCAGGTAAGGAATGCCAAGAACGGGTGGACTGTGTATCCATGGAAAGCAAAGGGTCCTTAGAAAGAGGCGTTCCATTCATATCATGTGGTGCAATATTCTTGGTGGCTTGTATATTCTGATCCTTCTTCAGTTGCACCAACTCAAGACCCTTGCTAGAAGGATCAGGTGTCTGAGAAGCATGGTCGGGTTGAATTTTCCGTGATGGGTCTGTGGTTGTTGCCTTGGACCCTTTATCAGTTTTTCTAGCCGAAATAGCTAGAGATTCTATTCTCTCGTTTATAAACCTGAAACCAAAATTTAGCCGAGAATAAGTAACACAATGAATATATGTTGAGGAATCACAATGACTCGTTTACTCACCTTTGATTAGCGAGATTCAGAATCGGTCTGATTACAACACAAGCGAGGAGTTCTCTAATAATATACCGGAATACAGAGCACTGCAGATCCTCGGGTTTAAATGTCAGTGAAATGAGGCCATCCACAACATGCTGCAGAACCTGCCATGATTCGGAATTAATGAAAATTCAAATGATCAAGAAATCAGGAATTTTCTGTTTAATAATAGTTAGAGTTAATAAATAAATAAATAAAAAGGAAAAAAGAGAGTCAACCTTATGCTCGGATTCAGTGGAAAATAACAGGGGATGCAAATTGTTCTCAGCAGCCAAAACAGATTTTAATGCAGTGTCTCTCTCTTCGAAGGTGAAAGATCTGGTTTGACGTTTCTCAATCTTTAGTTTACTTGCACGAAAGAGCTCCAGTCGTCGAGATACAATACAGATAATATCCCTGCACAATAAGTAAGGAAACCCTTCTTTAGCATGTCATCAGATCCTACCTTCACCAATAAAATTGTTAACTAGAATTGAGGACGCAACCTCGTTAAGAGATCAATCAGATTAATGTTTCTCATGCGACTTGAGATCTCCCCAATTACACCATTCATGACCAATACAATCTCTTCAGGACCTTGTCTATCAGGAGTTACGCGTGAGTACCACAGATCTGTCACCCATTCTGAGACAATGTGTCTCGTGAATTGGTCGATTGCTTCCTCCACAACAGGGGAACTTACCTTAAGCTTCCAATCAGACCTTTCAGGCACTAATTTAAGGCTGTCAACAGGTTTTGTTCGGGAACTGTTTGTGGATGTTTGCTTGCCTTTGTACGTTGCAGCTTTTCTCCGCGTGTCAAAATCCAGAGACATATAGCGAAGTATCATTATTAAGAGCAGAGCAGAAGGTAGATTGACCAGAACTGATGCACTAGTCACTGAAGAATGGGGAAAAGATAAATTAACTATGCAAAGATGTTCACAAACAACGTGAAGATTGAAAATAAACTGTATGTTAAAAGAGTCGAGCCCCCTCATGTGTAATGATTCTACTGATTTGACACTGTTATTACACCACCATCTTTTAGCATCGTATATAGTTGATAATATCATCATATATAACATAATTTTCAGCATGGTGCTATTTTCTACGTACTGGAACCTGAACCGATGTCCATATATTACTGACCCAAATCCCAAACAAATGCTCAATGAATTTAAGTAGAGTGTTATGTTGCCAGACATTAACATTTTCGTTGAGAACTTCTGAGTTTGAAAATATGGCAAGCAACGAAATGCAAACTTGAATAAAAACCAGTAATGCCTTATTGCCTTATTGTGGCCAATGTCCACATTATTCCCATGGCAGGTGAGCTTTCATATCTCCTTTATGACCTTGTATGTGGCTTACTGAGAAGTGATCAGCAAATGGAAATAACTGATAAATTCAACAATATCACAGATTTCCGTATTAATTTTTTTAACAGTTTTAGAGATTCCCAAAAGATTAGTCATTGATGTTCCCTTGATACATAGAAGTCAGAACTATCAACCTAGTAACCATCTTGTTTAGGCAAGTTTAGCAAAAAAGATTATTGTGTTAAGACAATGTACAAATTCAGTTCATTACTACAGTTTCTCATCATCTGGGGTCGACTTGGGGCGAGTTTCATTAAATTATTTCCACCGGTAAAATCTAACTACATATAGAAAAATCCTATTAAACCATTGAAATGATATGAAAATGGCAGCATTCAGCTGTCCCTACAAAATCACCCCTGCAAACACACACATATTAAACATTTCCTCCAAATCCCCACAAAAAGTGTACACCTACGAAACGATTATCAAAAAATTAGCCAAAGAACAGGAGAAAATGGAGCTAATAAAGGAAGGAACAAACAAACGATTACTCACATGACATGAGATAGGACAATCCAACAACACACACGACCAGAAGAACAACTCGCTTCTTAGCTTCCTCCACCAGGTCTCGAAAACTCACCGTCTGCCTCTCGCCGCCGCTGCTGCTCATTTTCCCAAACCCCTAACAGCAACTTCACCTTCTCACCGCTCAATCACTCATCTCAAATATCAATCACCCAATCAAACAAAAATCAAAACCGAGCAAAACCAATAACTCAAAGTTCTTCGATCAAAATATTCCCAAAACGACAACCTGCATTCTCCACGGCCGCCACTCCAAATTCCTCCCGGAAAAAGTATCAAATTGATCGAAAGCTCCACCGCACTCCAATTCACGGGACCCCCTTTAGGCTTTTCAATGCGTGCCTTTTGGGAGTAACAATCAAAAAAATCTGAATCGAAACGCACATATATCTACACTTCTCTCTCTACAATTCTCAAGTCTACGAATAATCCATTAGGGAAAACGGATTATAAAGTTGCCCCCAATCAGTTTGATTAAGAAGTTTTTCGCTCAAATTAACCAACAATTTTCTGCGCTGAGTGTATGCTGACAAATTTCTTCATTCGAATGAGAGTAAGCCAATTGACGTGAAGAGGGGGGACCGTGTCCAAAGTGGTAATTACAAATTCGCATGCAACTTCTTGACGCGTGTGATGAGAGAGAAGCTGGGGCCCGGCGACGAGTGAGCGTAATTACATTTCTACCCTTATCGGCCCTGGTCCAGTCAGATCCGTCGACCATGTGTTCGGGCTCGGCCCGAATGTTAACTGGGATGGATCAGAGGTTGACAAGTTTGAACATATGACACCACGAGTCGAGGTATTATAGGAAACCGTTAGATCTAACGGTTACATATCTCGATGGAATGGTTCCGTAACGAGACCGTAGCATCTCCCTAATATTATTATCATGGAATAGAATATTCGATCAATAAAACATGTACATGTCGTTAGATTTTAATTGAGCAAATTTCGAATACTAAATATTATTTCTATTCGAAGTCGAATTGAATTATCACATAAAAGAATTACGAATACTAAATTTTCGAAACCCTCCCCCAAAAAATCCCTTCGACGCGCTCCTCAATTTTGCGGCTGCTTTGCCTTCCTCGGCGACGGTATAGTCTCGGCTAGGGGTTTTCAATGACCGTCCCGGCCTCCCTTGACGACGCGCGTCTCTGGTGCTCTGTGGATGGGCCGCGATTGGGGCTCTGGCTCTCGGTTGCGGACAGGGATTCAAGTGGTGGCGTCTTTCCCGGTCAGTGATTGGTGGTGGAGTTCCTCCGTTGCCGGCGATGCTCCGATTAATGGTGGTAAGTCCCTTGATTCTCCCTTATTTGCGATTGTCGGGATGTATTTTTCCCAGCGAAGCTCCGTCTTTCAGGCGGGTGTGAACCTCTGGTCAGGGTGTCTGTGGAGGTGTCGGGCGGTGCGCGGGTCTATGGGTGGACGGGACTCAACTATAGCGTGAAGGTTGTGGTGGTCGGGGTGAGAGTTGTTTCTCTCTTACAATCCCCCGTTTGACTAGTGGTGTTAGGCAGCGTGGGCAGTTCTATCGACCTCGTCTAGTGGTGTTATAAGTGTTCGAGTGGAATCGGTGTGGGGTTGACCATTGCTCTCACGGTTATCGATGGGTCCATTCGGGGACTGGTTCGGGGTTAGGTTTTTTCTACTGTATAAGCTTGATTGCAGTTTCGGTAGCAGGTTCTTGGCATGCATTTGTCTTGTGTCGATCATTCACTGCTGGTTCAGGCTAGTTCGTTTGCTATGGAAGGGCTGTTAGATTATTTTAGTTTATTTGTGTTCTTTTAGTGTTTTCGTATTTGTGTTTGTGTTTGTCCTTGTGTTTTAGGTTTGGGGTGTTGACCTCGGTTAGCCCGAGTGTCACCTTATTATCCTGTTGGAATTCGACACTCGAGTATTACCCTTTTGGGGTCTTTTTAGTTTAGTAGTTTTTTTGTGTGTTAGTTAGTATTACCCTGTTGGGGTCGGCTCTAGGCGGTCTTTTGACTGTCCTCCCACTTTATTCAGTTGTTGGTTGTTTGTATTCAGTTGATGGCTACTCTTTTGTACATTTGTTCGGTTATATATATAATATCTCATCATTTCGGAAAAAAAAAAAAAAAAAAGATCTCGAGATTATTATACACCTCTAATCCAATCTTGTGTGAGTAGGTAGCTACACTCTGTTTGTCAGTAATGTTCCTTTACCCACAGTGGACATATGTTAATATGTTCACCGCTTATGTGGCATGCAAAAATTGGTGATGTATTTTTTTTAACATATTAACACCACCAATGCGTGCATGACACATAAGCGGTTGTCATATTAACATGTGTCCACCGTGGGTATGAGAGCATTAGTGCTCTGTTTGTTAGTGATATTTTTGGTCTACACATATATTTAATAATAATATTATTTTTGTTATCCTTCTTAGCAACTAATTATAAGACGTTGAAAATGCATAAAGGACTGCATTATTGTTCTTATTTAAACTTTTTGATCTGTGACAGCATGTGAAAGCTTAGCCACCCACAATTCGTGGGCCTATAGCTGTCGCATGCAATGTAAGAACAAGCACAGATTATGGGTTGGCTTGGCCCAACAAAAATACAATCTGTTTATGTCGAGTCAATTGGTGAGAAATTTCATTTCATTTTTTTTTTTCAAATAAATAAAGTGGCCATCGTATAAATGTTGACAAACTTATCAAAGAGGACACTATTCACGTTTATTTTTTATTTTTTTATTGTTGATCACACAGATATTTATAAGAATGTGTAGATTTGACTTAAAAAAATAATATTAGTTGTGTTATGGTAAGAAAACAATAAAATAATAATTGATATTTGTAAATAC